GAATCATATCCCATGATTCTATCCTTTAGAAACCTGGAATCCATAGGACCACACCCCAGGATCCTGCAGTTAAGAATCCTGGAATCCACAGGACCACGTTCCATGATTCTACGGTTAAGAATCCTGGAATTTATAGAACCACAGTCCATGATTCTACAGTTTAGAGTCTTGGAATTCATGGAATCGTATCCCACGATTCTATGGTTTAGAATCCCAGAATCCATAGAACCAGAATTCCAGGGTTCTATGGTTTAGCACCCTGGAATCCACAGAAACATATTCCCTGACTCTATTGTTTGGAATCCTGGGATCCAGAGAACCACATTCCATGATTCAGAATCCCAGAATCCATCGAACCATACTCCATGATTCTATGATTTGGAACCCTGGAATCCAGAGAACCTTATTCCATGGTTTAGAATCACATTCCATGATGGAACATGGATGGATCCACACTACAGATTCCCAGAATCATCACACAATTGGTAGGATCACATTCCAGGATTCAGGATGACACAATCCCGGAATGCTTTGCCTTGGGAGGGACCTTAAAGCTCATCCTTGGCATTGTCCAGCTGGGAACAAGCCCCAGGCAGGGAGATCCTGCTTTCCAAGCCCAAATCCATGTCCCTCATCCCTATTATCCAGGTCCCGGAGTTCTCACAAGGAATGAGTTCTGAAATAACCTGGGAATCAGCTTTGGGAAATCCAGGGGTTTGTGTCCCACGGTATTCCAGCAGCCAGGCTCCCCATGATGCCAACAGCATTACCACGGGAGTAGGATCCACCAGGGACTAAATCTCATTCCCACTTTTCCCTGGGAAGGCACAGTGGCTGTTTATCCCGATCCAAGCAGGCAGCCTGTGGATCCTGATCCCAAAGCACTTGGATCCAACTCCCTCCCTCGGGATCTTTGCTCCTTCCCATCCTTCCTCCTTCTCAGGTGTCCCAATCCAGGTGTGGATGATCCAAGTTCTTCTCACCCGAGTTTTCCTCCTGCCTCTCATCCTGCCCAGCTCTCATTCCCAAGGAATGCTGCTCTCTCCCTTCCCGGACCCGATTAATGGGAAAAGGTCCACTGGGAAAACTGATGGCACCGAGGAATGCAGCATCCCAAAAAAAGGGATGGTCCAGCTCCCTTCCTGCAAGGAATCCAGCACTCTAGGGATGCTCTTGTGTGATCCCAAGGGATCCTGGAGAGCTTGAATCCCGAAAAATTCAAGGGATCACTTGGATCCAGGGGGTCCGAACCCAGCCCTTGGTTTGCCGTTCTCCCACATTCCCTGTTTCCCACCTCTCTCCCCTCTGGATCACACTCCCTGCAAACCCTGCTCTCCCTATCCCACGTGGCTGGTCGGGAACACGAGCCAGGAAGGGGGGGGAGGGATATTCCTTGGAATATTACTCATGGAAGGTGCAGCCGCTTCTCCCTCCGGCGCTAAATTTCAAAGTCCAGTTTCCAACAAAAGAGTAATTCAGGGATCTTCCCTTCCCTCCCCTCGTCCCTTCCCATCACCCCCGGGATTCCAAGACGCTGGAATACCCGGGATCTCGTACTCCTGGTTTACTCAGAGTTTGTGTACCCATTTGTTGGATTCATTAAAGCCATAAAAAAGTCTGGAATTCGTGTCTTTGGTTGGTTTGCTCCTTAAAACAGACCCACGGAGGGAAATCGGGAACTTGGGAGCAAAAGAAATGGGAATTTAGGCCCATTTGATATGGGGGAAATAAGGATCACACAGCCCATGGGGCTCCAAAACAAAGATCCCCAAAATCCTGTCCCAAATCCCCCCAAATCCAGACACAGCCTCCCAAATCCAGCCCCAAATCAGCAAAATCGGCCACAAATCAAAATCCAGCCCCAAACTGCCCCAGTCCAGTCCCAGAGCACCAAATTCCAGCTCCAAATTGGCCCCAGACAGCCCCAAATCCCACCAAAATCGCTGATTCCCAAAAGGCTCCAAGTTATTTCAGCACTCGTGTTCCCAGGGTTATCCCAGAATCCCGGAATGGTTCGGGTGGGAAGGGACCACAAAGATCATCCAGTTCCAATCCCAACACCTTCCACTATCCCAGGTTGCTCCAACCCATCCGACCTGGCGCCTTGGGCACTTCCAGGGCTGGGGCAGCCACAGCTTCCCTGGGAAACCCATTCCAGGGCCTCACTGCCCTCACAGGGAAAAACGTATTCCCAATATCCCAGCTCCACCCCCCCTGTGGCACTGGGAAGCCATTCCCTGTGTCCTGTCCCTCCATCCCTTGTCCAGTCCCTCTCCAGCTCTCCTGGAGCCCCTTCAGGCCCTGGAATGGGCTCTCAGCTCTCCCTGGAACCCTCCCTTCTCCAGGCTGGACATTCCCAGCTCTCCCAGCCCGGCTCCCAGCTGGGATCCAAAGCAGCAGCACGGATTGGCCACGGAGATTCCCTGGGAGCGCCGGGACGGGGAATGCAGCCCAGGATTCCCTGCATGCTCCCAGGGCAGCTCCCACCCTGGAGTTCTCTCCTCCTGGCACCGAGAAATCCCTCCCTGGCTCTGCACTCGCTCCAGAGGGTCCATTCCCAAGGCGGACACAGCACTTCCACGGCTTTATAAAGGGATCAAGGAGCATCCTCGGGGACGAGGGAACATCCTGGGAGACGCTTCCATCCCGGAACACCAGCGCAGTTGGAAGTGTGAGGGCTCCAACCAGCCCTGGAATGCTGGGCAGGGTCACCCACCTGCTCCTGCAGATCCCAGCGAGGATATCCCAACTCCTCGGATACCTCTGGCAGGACAAACGCCCACAAAAGCTGGATCTGCTTTCCAAGGAAGCTCCGTGACGGGAAGGACGAGCAGGGATTGCTGGAAAGGCAGGGAAAGCCACGTGCTGAAAAAGCAGGAAAACTCAGATGCTGCTGGAAGAGCCCGGGAATTATATCTGGATTTCACTTGCAGGGGCTTTTCCAAGCTAAATGATGGATTCCATTCCCAGATCCGTGATTCCAGAGCAGTGCACACGGATTGGGATCCAGCTCTGCCACGGTGGCCCTTCAGCTCCCACCACACTCAACCTCTCTCCCCCTTTTTCCTCTCTCCCACCAGTTTTCCAAGGTTTTCCTTGGCTCCTGATCTCCCTGTGCTAATCCACCCTCAGCCCAGGGAATATCCCCCCCCACAATGGGAATTATCATCCCGATTTCCCCTGGTCAGTGGGAATTAAAGCACATGAAGTTCTCCTGCATCCAAGCACCTCCCAGCCAGGGATCCTGCAGGATATTCCTTGGGTTTAGATCCCTTAAAACTATTTCCAAGAAAAAGCACTTGGCAAAGAAGTGTAACTCAACCCACCAGAACATTATCCCTGCTGAAAAATAGGAATTCATCACATTGCAGGCTGATTTTTTAAAGGATCTTTCCATTTCCTTTTCCTCTTTTCCAACTGAATCCTTGGAAAAATCCTGAGGAATTGATTTCTGCAATGCTGGTTTCCATTTAAATGATTAACAATCAGATCACAGCTTTCATCAATGACATATTCCCATTATTTTCCCTCCTTCTTTCCTTGGGAATTCATCAGCCTGGCTTAAAAATTCTTGGAAAATTTGGGGGGGTTTTGTGTCATTCCCAATGTCTTTTTCCAATGGGTTGAAAACCACTTCTCTCCACAAGCTGGCATTTTTTCCCTAAAGTCACCAGTACATCCAGCGGCTGGAAAAATCTCCTTGGAAAATCCAACTCCATCCCTAATTAAGGCTTTTCAGGGGTTTTATAGCAGTTTATAGCAGCTTCCACCATTCCTGCTGTGTCCACATCCATCTGTTTTCCTGAATTAAAGCAGCCCCCCCTGAACATGGATTATTCCATGTTTATCCAAGGATAGCAGCCAGAGTTGGATGTTTTCCCTTCCCCAGGAGAGTCAAGATCCTTTTAGGAGACCGACACGGTTCCAGGTAGGGAGGAAAATCCCACAGACCCACCCCCAAAACATCAGGCACCAACATTCCAGCACTTTTGAGAGGCATTTTCATGGGAATCCGGGAGTTCAGCTGCCTTTGACTATCAGGGATTCCCTGCCAGTCCCTTCGGGAGCAGCCAGAAAAACCATTCCAGGCCCCATTCCCAGCATTAGGTGCTTCCAGGCATTCCTTTTCCCCGGATTTCCCCTGGCTCGTCTCCTCTCCTTATTCTCTGACCCTGCAATCCGTAAAAAAAAGCTTTTCCCACTTGCAGAATACGAATTCCATGGCATTGAAGAACTGGGAGCAGCCCCAGGCAGGGAGATCCTGCTTTCCAACCCCAAATCCATGCCCCTCACTGGGAAAATCCCAGTTTGGACTCACCTTCCTTGCAGAAGGACCCCGGCACCTCCACGTTTATCCAAAGGGCAGATTCCCACATTATTCTGGCTGGAACACTGAATACATGGAATATCTGGGATCTAGTCTTGACTGAGAGCACTCATCCTCCTCCCCCTGCCATTCCCATTCCATCCCAGAGGATTCCTCGTCAGCAACCTGGAATTTTGCACTAAAATCCTTCTTTTTGTGTGGGAAGTTGGATTTAACGTGGGATCACTCTCAGCTCTTTCCTTAATTCCCTTCCCTCAGTTTCCTTCATTTCCTTCTCCACTGAAGGGATATTCCTAGAACTGATCTCACGGGACACGGATCAGAAAATCCTGGAATGATCTGGGGGGGGGGAAGAAGGGACTTTAAAGATCCAATTCCAACCCTGACCCCTCCCACCAGGCCAGGCTGCTCCCCCCTGGATCTGAACACTTCCAGGGATGTGGCTTCCACCACCTCTCCAGTTGGATGATTCCCAAAGGCCGAGATCCAGACCAGGCAGAGCTGGAAAAGCACCAACCACCCCTCAGTGCTTCCCTGGAGCATTCCCAAGGCACCCCCCCCCCCAAATTCCTCACAGCCTTCCCACTCCCAGCCCTCTCAAGGCAGGAAACCTCCGGCAAATCCCAACCATCCGTATCCAGGACATCCTTTGGGAAGAGCCACAGACTCCAGCCGTGCTTCCAACATCCATTTTATACACAGTGCCATAGAATATACAGAAAATTTATATACATCCATCTCTATGGAATAGGGTTATAATTCCGGAGCCTGCTCTTTGCAGCGGGATCAGTTCGGAGCTTCCATCCAGCGGTACAAAAACAGTCCCGTGGAGAAGGAATGGCACGGGAGGAAGTGCTTGAGTTTCCTTGGAATCTTCATGCTGGGGCAGCTCGGAGCAGGGGTGTGGAAGGCAGCATTCCCGGGATGAGCAGAGGGATGCAGGAAGCTGGGCTGGTCCCCCCTCCCCTCCCTATATCCAAGCGCTCCGAGCCCCGTGGGGAACGCTCGGAGCAGCTCAGAGTTCTCCCAAAAATTCCAGAGGCTTCGGCTCTCCCGAGGCAATTTGGGGCGAGGAGTTAATGGATCCACGGTTTTCCTGCTCTGAGCTGCCCCAGCTCGGGATGGGACACAGGGCACAGCAGGAAAAAGGGCTTTTCCAGAGGCGGAGTAGGGCACAACATTCCTGCTGCCCCGCGGACACGGGAAGGGAGGCACAGCCCATCCCAAAAACCCCTGTGCCATTAGGAATTCTGTTCATCACTAGGACAGGAGCTCGGGAGTATTCCCTGGACATCGCTCAGCTGACTGGGGGAGGGAAAAGCGGGAAGCTGGAGCTGCAGGGGAGGCCACTCGTCCCACCGAGCACCGGGAACATCCCGGGAAAGGAGTTCAGAGCCAAAAGTCTGGCTGTGTCCCGGGAAAAACACCCTGACACGACCCCTGAACTTCCCAAAAGCAGGATATCAGGGCAGGGCTGTGCCACCTCCTTCCGCTGCTCCAGGACCTCCGAGTCTGAGCCATGGGGACTGCACAAATCCCAGGATCTGAGCAGGGAAGCGGAATCCCAACAAAAACCAGCATCGGGGCTTGTTCCTGGACTGCTCCGTGTTTAAGGGTTTGCAGGAATCAAGGTGGAGCCAGGCAGAGATTCCCCTCATGCCACGGGTGCCTGGGAAGGTGGGAATGTCGGGACACGGTGAGGACACAGCAAGGAAAGCAGGGAAAATTCCCAGGCAGCTTCCCTTTGGAAGGTGGCTGTTCCAGAGCCAGGGATGAGGGAACCTCCTGCCCCAGGTCAGGATTTGCTTTTGGCACTTGGATACGACCTGAGGCAGCAGGGAAGAGCAGGAAGAAGTGGGAATTCCCGCTGAGGGAGAACGGGAGGGCTCAGAAGCAAAGGCAGCTCTGTGGCCACAATTCCACGGACCCAGAGAAGCGGGAAAGGAAGCGGGAGATGTCTGATCCCAAAAATCCGGTCCCAGGCAGGAGGCTGGGACCTGAAGCCATGGAAAACAAAGGCACAAGAAGTATGGACTCAGTGAACAAGGAAGGAAACAACGGGAATGGGGACAGCTGCTGATTTTCAGGATTGCAGGTCCCTGTGACAAAGCAAGGAATTTCTCTAATCCTTGGATATTTGGAATTTCCAGCCCTTAGGCAGCTCCTTGGGAGCTGGAAGAGGGGGGAGGACATCGGTGGCTCCTGATCCATCCCACTTCCCATCCATAACCCCACTATGGGTCCCGCTGGAGAGCGAGAACTCCCACATGGAATCCCAGCTTCCAGCTGCAACATTCCTGCCTCTCCTCCTTCCCGAGGACGGGCAGTGTTTGCCTCCCGCAGGATACTTGGAGCATCGCAGGAGCACCGTGAGGGGGAGCTTTGGCACAGGGAACGTGCTCGTCCCGAAATCCAGCGGCTCTTCCCTAAAATCAGCCCCGCACGGGCTCCGGGAATGTGCAAGGAGCCCGATCCAGCCAGAGCTTCCCAGTGCCTTCCTCCAAAGGGATCTGTCATCAGAACAGCTGCTGGAATTGCAACCCTCCCTTTCCTGCCTAAAGGGACAGCAGGAACGCTGGAATTCCAGAGCCCCGGAAGGACTGGGGCAGGAAGGGATTTCAAGCCCCCCCAGCTCCAGGGGCAGGGACATCTCCCGCTATTCCAGGCTGCTCCAAGTCCTGTCCGAGCTGGCCTGGAACAACGTCAGGGGTGAGGAGCCCCCAACCTCCCTGGGAACGTTTGCATGTTCCCCAAAGGATGCAGTTACAACCCCTATCCCTAAAAAAAACATGGGAATGAAATGTTCCTGCTACCATCCTGCAAAGCTGGAATGTTCTACTGCCAAGGGAATGCTATCCCAGATTGGACAGGGATAAAGCCAGCAGAGCTCCAGCCCAGCAATTCCCAAGGCAAACATGGAAATCCAACCCTATGGATACAAACCTAAACACAGCAATGACTATTCCCGCTTAATTCCCATTTCCAGGGATAATCCTGATTATTCCTATGTCCCAGTTTGGAAATCCAGTCTGGGGGATTCCGTGGCAACATTATCACCTGCCTGCAGGAAAAGAGGAAAAAAAAAGCTGGGAAAACATCCAAGTGCCTGAGGAATATGTTAGATCCTGCTCCTGGAGTTTTCCCTCCCTCCTGTGTTTTCCCTCCTTTCTGGACAAAGATTTCCCACCTAAATCCTTCTGGGGACCATCAACTACTTCAGGAATTGAAGCAACAATATCCCAAAAAATGGAGATGGGAATCATTGGATTCATACATCCACACTCACCACCAGCTTTGCCATCCCAGTCCTCTGGAGAGAGCAGAACATCTCCTAAAAATCCAGTTTTCCCTGGGGAAGAAAAGTTCTTCAAAATTCCAGGAATTCCATTTAACTGCTTTGGATCATCCTGAGATTGCAGGGACCAGTTTTCCCTGTTCAAGTGGAGCTATCAAGGATGTGGGATAAGAGGAGGGATGAGGCGAGAGGAACAGGGAGCAAAGAAAAGAGGGAAGTGGAAGTTTCAGGAGGAATTCAACATTCCAAATGGAGAAGGAGAGGGAACAAGGATAAATATTGGAGGAGGGCTTGTAAATCCCTCAGCACATCCTTCCCAAAATTCCTGGCACTGCCGCAGGTAAAGCCACAAGCAAATCAATTACTAGGGATGCAGATGCTCCACTCCTCTCCCAAGAAACTCCCGGAATCCTCTGCATTGGAAAGGGCCTTTAAAGGCCTTGGAAAGGATCAGAATGGATTTGGAGGACGTGACCCGGAACTGGGTGCCTGGGATTTGGGATGTCAGGCACTTCCGGCGCTGCCTCGCCGCAGGGTGGACCATCCTGTTGGAATATCACGGGAATCCAGGAAGATTGGAAGGCACAAAGCTAAGGGGAGGAAGCAGAAGCCAAGGAAAAATGTGGAGATGCTCCACATTTCCAAAGAAAGAGTGGGCAGAGAAAGCAGGAAGTGTGGCCAGTGTGGATGCAGGAGGCAGCTGTGGGTTTAGCATTTATTCCAGCATTCCAGAGGGGCTTTTCCAGGAAGGAACAGGAGATCAGCCTTTCCAAATGCCCTCAGAGCAAAGGAGTGGTGGGAATTGAGACTTGGAATGATGGGGATCAAGACACAGGGATGGGGATCGAGACAAAAAGAGATTTAAAGCCGAAATAATTCCAAGAACACGGATTTCCTTTGGGAGCACTGGGATCAGATCTGTGTGTCAGGAGGGAACACCAAAGCCCAGGAACTGTCCACGGTTTGGCACAACCTGAACCCTCAGGGGATTCCTTTCCACCTTTACTCCTTGGATCCATGGCAAGCCCAGCTCCCAGGAACGAGGGACTGCCAGGCTTTCAGTGCAGCATTCCAGGCTGCTTCCAGTCAGGGCCAGGGAACCCCCTTCCCATGGGATACAGTTCCAATGGCCCAGAGAAGCGACCAGTCAGCCAAGGATGGAGTTTTCCAGGACACAGGTGGGAAGTGACTTTCTAGTGCAACATTTGAGCCATTCAACGCCAGCAGATCCCGACTGGAATCGTTCCGGAGGGAGATATTCCCACTTTCCTCACCTGAGGGCACCTCCTCCCCGGGGATCCAGCCCAATCCCAGGTGTCCCTGCGGCTCCCAGGGATGGAGATGATCCTTTCCTCAAGGTTTTAAAGTGCTTTGCAGATCCAAAGCTCTGCCTTTAGTGCTAAGGGTTAATTCCTGCCGGGATTAAGGGCAGGAATGAGCTCCTTATTCCCATTCCCGGGCTGGGAAGTGAGCCAGCCTGCTAGCCCTGCCCCCCCTGCCCCTCAGCTCCCCTCTTCCCCTCCAAACTTCCCGGGTTTTTGTGCGTATTCCTGAAAAATCACCTGGGTGCTGCTTCCTGAGGGCAGGGAGTGGGCTGTGCTGAGCTCCCCACCCTGCTCCTTTGTACAGGACCTACAAAAACAAAAGGAGCTTCCCATGGCCTGGAACCAAAGGATTTTTCCTTCCTCGCATTCCTCTGAATCCACAGGGGCTTCCTCTGCTCCAGCTCCACGCAGGGAAAGGTCACACCCTTGGAACCTTAAACCACAGGGATAACGTTCTAACTTCCCACCGAAAGCGCTTCGGAAGGCTCTGGAATAGGGAAGGAGCAGGGAATGTGTATCCCGGGATCAGGTGAGGGGGATACCAGCACTCGGGCAGAGATTCCAGTGAAATTCCGTGCACCTGGAGTCGCTTCCATCAGTGCACGTGGGTTATAAAGTGCTCCTGCTGGATACCAGTTATTCCCAAAGGAAGGCCCATCCCAAGGCTTCGGGACACCACGGGGAGCCCAGGGATTTGCCGGCTCCCGGGAAGCACAGCATCCTCCCACAGTGGAAAGATCCCAGCTAAGGAAGGGGACAGGATTCTAAGGAAGTTAAAGTGGGACTTTCTTTTCCAGGGAAGGAGGAGAGAACTCCAGGGAGACCCCTCGGGAAGTGCCGAGCTTTGCTTTGCCAACGAAGGGCCTTTTCCAGGTCACAGAAGGGTTTCATTCCCTAAATAGGTAGTTTTCCTGCTGCTCCCATCATTGGAAAACCTGCCTGGAGGGCTGAGCAGGCTCCTCCGGACCCTGGGGCAGCTCAGGCAGATTCAATCCCAACTCCCTCCACCTTCACTCCAGGGGCTTGTGCAGGGGAGTGGAGAGGGAGGGGGGAGAGGGATGCAGGCAGCTCCCCCCAGATCCCAGCCACCTGGAAAGCAGGGAACTTGGAATTCTGCCTGCCCACCCTCTCTTCCCTCAGCCCCCAGCAGAAAAGGCACGGGGAGGAGAGGATGGCCGGGCTTTTCCTTTGGGAAAACCTCCCTGTTTCCTTCATAAATACCTTCCCAACAGCAGCTCTGTAAACACACACAAGGTTTCAACACTCGGAAAAAAAAAAAAATCCATCTTTTCCCTGAATTCCCAACGACAGGCTGCCACCGATCCATGGGTGCTGCACATGGGTGGCGTGAGGACCCAGAGGGATCCACCCCAGGAAAGGCTCCCGGATTCCACAGGGACTCGGAAAACAACGCCGGGCCAATTTTCCAGCCGATCCCTCCACGCAGCTCCGAGATGAGAATCCCGGCAGTCCCGCGGGAATGTCGCCAGCTCAGAGGGGTCCAGAGAATCCGGGAGCGACGGTGGTGAGATCCAGGAGAGCTCGGACGCGGCAGAGGGATCTGGCTCTTGGGAACAGCGTCCTTCCCTCAGGAGTACTCGGGGGAGAGGAAACACGGTGCCAGCCCCGTTCCCGCTGCGCCCGGCCGGGAATGGGAGGCTGGATTTGGGGGGATACGGCCCCGATGGCTTTAAAACAGGAGTGTCCTACAAAAGCAATCCCCATGGAAGTGGCCGGGTTGGAGCTCGGGCCGGATCCGTGGTAGTGCAACAGGGCCCAGAGTCTCAACCCACTCATCTCCCAAAGCAGCGGCTGCGCTCCGGAGGGGGGATCCATCCCAGCCCCCCTCCTGCTTCCAACTCTCCAGCCTCGAGTTTCAGGGAATCCAGCCCGGAGGATTCCCAGAGCAGGGTGTCTCGCTCCCAAACTCGGCAGGAGCCCCGGGGCAAGGAATCTGCCTCTGGAATGAGAGCCAGGCTGAGGTAGGGAATTTTAGTGCCTCAGACCCTCTCAGGCCCCACGGGGCGAAGCTTCTCCCAGGCTCCATGCACGGCATTCCAGCACAATCCATCCTCCAGCCACCGCTGCGCCAGCCCGGAAGGGATGTTCCCGGCCGTCTCCTCCCATCCCGACCGCTCCTCTCCTCCACGGATTATCCCACCGGGATCATTCCACCCCTGTTCCCAAGCACTAAAGGGCCGAAATCATGAGGTCGTCCTGCTTGGCGGGGCTGGTTACGTGTCCGGAGGGGGTGGAAGTCCGGATTTTGTCCGTGGCCAGGCATTCCTGGCTGCTCACGCCCGTGGGAGTGATGTCCATGAGCTCCCCGGACGAGCTGAGGGGGAAGGAGGGCGACACGGAGATGCCCGACGAGGGATCCGTCGATCCCGCGAACAGCCGGGGCGGCTTCGGGACCAGGTTGGGCTCGTACTGCGCCCGCAGCAGGATCTCCTGGTCGCTCACGGACTTGGGGAGCTCGGCGAAGTCGCTGGAGCTGTCCGACACCATCATGCAGTAGATGTCCTGGAAGGAGCTGCTCTTGCTGTCCAGGTTGAAGAGGCTGTCGATGAACTCGGCGAACTCCAGCACCTGGGGGCTGGGCACGTCGGCCAGGCGGCCGTTGTGCAGCGCCGGCTCCTCCCGGGGGGACGAGGGGCCGCGCTCGCCGTCGCTCCCGGCGCCCTCCGCGCTGCAGCGGCGCCGGGGGGTGGTGTCCCCGCTGTTGAGGACGTTCTCCGGGGGCTGCGTCTCCTGGGAGTGCTTGGAGAGGCTGTCCGCGGCCAGCAGCTCGGTGCGGGAGCTGAGGGAAGGGTTCTCCTCGGGGATGACGGGGTCGATGTAAAAGCAGTGCGTCTCGTCCTTCTCCATGACCGCGTGCAGGCTGGGCGAGCCCCGGATGCTCCGGAAGCCGGAGGAGCGCCGCGAGTCGAAGCTGTAGATGGACTCGTTGTCCGAGAGGCTCTCCATGGTGGCCAGAGGGGCCCGGCGGTCCTGCAGCTCCACGGAAAGGCGCTCCTTGGTGTCCAGGAGCAGCAGCTCCACCGGGTCCTTCTGCACCGGGGAAAGCGGCTTCGTCTCGTAGAACCCCTCCAGGCTGATCTCCGAGTGGGATTTGCTCCTGCAGCGGGAAGAGAGAACGTGAGGAGGCGGCCAGAGGATCCGAGTGTCGGGCACGGAGTTCCTCACGCAGTTCCTCCAACCAAACCCGTCCAGGACTCCTGGAAATCCCTCACTGCTCCGTTCTCCCAACGGAAAACATCACACTGGCTCCTCCCTCAGCAAACTCCGGTTCTTGCCCTTCTCCCTGCTTTCCTGGCTAAATAAATCCTTCTCTCCTGCCCAGAGAGGCTGTGGAATCCCCATCCCTGGTGGTGTTCCAGGTTGGAGCGACCTGGGCTAGCGGAAGGAGTCCCTGCCCACGGCAGGGGATTGGAATGAGACGGTGTTTATGGTCTCTTCCATCCCAAACCATTCCACGATTCTCCCAATGTCTTCCTTCTCCAGCACCACTGTCACTTGGGATCGTGGCTCTGCTCCCAGAGAAACCTGCAGCACTTCCAAAGCATCCAAAACCTCTGCGTTAAAGAGGATTTAGGGGAGAGAGACTGAAGGACCACCCTACACTTAACCCACTTTCTCCTTCTTTTCCCACTCTGCAACCACTCCAGGTTCAGGCTTTCCCCTCCTTCTCCGTGCTGGTGATCCCACCACAAATTCCACGAGGCTGTCAGAGCATTTTCCATGACCAGCCTTTAAGACAGGTAGGAAAACTCCAGCTACACTAAGATTTTAAGGATCGGGCAGGCTCTTCCAGAAAAACACAGGGAAGGAGCTCCCGCACCAGGCCTGGGATCAACAGCCTTAAGGACATGGAATTATGCAAGTATTTGGGAAGAGAGCCTGAGTTTGGGAGAGGACTCCTGCCCCTGCCAAAGGGCTGGGATATACAGGGAATGCTTCATGAGGGATATACAGGGAATGCTTCATGAGGGATATACAGGGAATGCTTCATGAGGTAAGGCAATATCTGATCCCTTTGCAGCTTCAGTGGAGTAACAGTGATTTAGGAAGAGATTCCAAGAATCCCAAAAGAGGAAATCTGACACACTAAGATGGTTCTAACCTGGAATTAAACACCATCTTCCCAGTCTTACTGTAGCCCTCAAAAACCTGGGACAATCCCTGTTCCATCCCGGCTGTGTTCTGCTTCCAAGCTCTCCTTCACTGCCTCTGACCATCCACTCCCTGTGACAAGAATATTCCCATTTTCCCACGTTATCTGCTGCCTCATCTTCCCTCTGAATTTAAATCTCCCTCCTATGACCTCACACTTATCCAGAAATCCCTCACCCCACAGCACTCCCTGAAAACCCCATGGAAGTGCTTCCCTTGCCAAGGAATTATCCCTTCCCACCCACACAGTTCCATCTCCTGGTTCCACTCACAGCTACCTCTGGATGCAAACCATCTCCCTTCCTTCATTTTCCCTGTTTTCCCTGCCAGTCCAGATTTGGGAACACCTTCAGCACTTGGAATACGCCTCTTCCCTGTTTTCTGCTGGATTTCCTGCTCTTATCCTTCCCAAACAGGACACCAACTGCTTTCCCCTCACCTATCCCCATGTTCCCAACGTGATCCTGTTTGTGATATTCCATAAATCCCAGCATGAAGCAGCTTTAAATGTATATGTCGTGCTAAGCTTTGGAAAATCACCAAATCTGGCTGGAAGTTTCACCTTGGGAAAACCAGATTTGTCTGGACAAGGAGCAAAGGAGGTTTCTTCCACCCCTTGTATGTTCTCCTGACCTTGCTCCACTCAGATTCCTGAGGGACACAAAGGATCTTTTCCCCCTGACACAAGTCCCACAAAGGCATCCCTTGGATCTATCCACAAACACGGATCACAGCGCTCCAAGAGGGAGAGGATCCACACCTAGAGCCAACATTCCCGCCCAAATCCATCCTTACTTGGTGCTGCTGTTCCTCCTGTCCGCTGGGATGGCCCCGGTTCCCACCTGAATGGAAGGGCCGCTGGGCAAGGGCTGGCTCTGGAATATCAGCTCCGGAGTGAGATCCACTTCCGTCGGACTCACCATCACCTTGGCTGCGGAAAGCAAAGCGGTTTTCCCCTTGTTGTAGTTTTCCAAGACCTGTCCAAGGCAAGGAGAGGAACAGCAGGGATTTACTGGGAGCTGGATTTGCCTCTTTCTTCCCAAAGCCGCCTGGAAGCACGAGGAAAGGTCTGGAGACGAAGGTTCAGATGGATAAATCCTGACATATCCCCGGGTGTCACCGGGACTCATCCAGTGGGCACCTCCTGGAATGAACCAACCGCCCCCCAACCTCCCGTTACTCCGACGTGACGTTTGGAAACAGGACTGGGAACCCTGGGAATTCCATTCCCAGACCTCACCACATCCAGCTCCAGCATCCCGTGCCCAACTGACCTGGAGCATCAGCACTTTTCCTCCTCTTCCCCAAAACAAACGGCCTCGTGCATTTAAACTCCAGCATTCCAGGGCAAGGAGTGACCATCCCGCGGGGATGTTCGGGATCCCAATCCCCTTACCTTGTTGAGCCCTTCCATGACCACGTAGGGAAGGTGTTCGTGGAGCATGGCCGGGGAGATGATCACCTCGTTGAAGGCCTTGTTGTCCCCCCAGATGGCAAAATAAGTGGGATCCTCCTGCTCGCAGCAGCTGGAAAAGGGATCCAAACAAAGGGGAAAACGGGATGAAAGAGCAGGGAAATGTTTCGGTCGGAGAGGGAGAAAAAGCAACGGCAGGAAAACCAGAGGGAGGAGATGTTGAAGCACGTGCTGCTCCAGAATCTGCATTATCCAACAGGGAATGACATCCCAGTGCCTGGAGGGGCTCCCAGAGAGCTGGGGAGGGAATTTGGAGAAGGGCCCGGAGGGACAGGACAAGGGGGAATGGCTTCCCACTACCAGGTTTAGGTGGGACACTGGGAAGAAATCCTTCATTTTGCGGGAAGTGAGGCCCTGGAATGTATTTCCCAGGGAAGCTGCAGCTGCCCCATCCCTGGAGGTGCTCCAGGCCAGCTTGGAGCAACCTGGAGCAGCGGAAGGTGTCCCTGCCGTGGACTGGATGATCCTTAAGTCCCTTCCATCCCAAACCATTCCAGGACTCCATGTGCTGGTTTACACGGGATGCTGGGAAGAAACTCTTCCCCGTGAGGGCGCTGAGGCCCTGGAATGGATTTCCCTGGGAAGCTGTGGCTGCCCCATCCCGGGAAGTGCCCGAGGCCAGCTCGGAGCACCCTGGAGCAGCGGCGGGCGGCCCCTTTACGCTCCCACATTCCAACCTGAACCGTTCTAGACGGCAGGGAAAAAAACCACCCAACACCTTAATTCTCGTGTGCGGGCGTTTTCCCGTGGGGAACGGCGGGACTCACCAGCACTGCTCGGCGGGGTGGTTGTGCACGACGTGGATGATGCGGCCGGGCGGGTAGAGGGGCGTGCTGGCCGACAGCGCGATGGTCAGGTCGCTGGGGTGGGCCCACAGCCGCTGGCTCGGCACAGAGCTCTCCTCCGGCTCCTCGGGGAGCTCCGACTTGGGAATGCACTTGGTGGCCCCCACGATGATCCGCCACTGAGCCGGGAGCGGGAGCGGCGAGGCGGGAAAAGAGCACGGGAAAGGCACGGTCAGCTCGCGGGACTCGGGAGGTTGGAGCGGGACAAAGGACACAAATCCCGGGCTTGGGGCTCTGATTCCGGAATAGGGACAGCCCTGTGCCAGGGAGCACAACTCCAGAGGGGGGATAGTCCCCGTTCTCTGCCACGTAGGAGGAAATCGCCTATAAAAGGTGTGGGGAACACCAACAGAGATGCCCAGGGAAAACACGGGGAAGCAGGAGGATAAATATGGAATAACACGGGGAAGCAGGAGGATAAATATGGAATAACACGGGGAAGCAGGAGGATAAATATGGAATAACACGGGGAAGCAGGAGGATAAATATGGAATCACACGGGGAAGCAGGAGGGTAAATATGGAATCACACGGGGAAGCGGGAGGATAAATATGGAATAACACGGGGAAGCAGGAGGATAAATATGGAATAAGATGGGGAAGCAGGAGGATAAATATGGAATAACACGGGGAAGCAGGAGGATAAATATGGAATAACACGGGGAAGCAGGAGGATAAATATGGAATAAGATGGGGAAGCAGGAAGATAAATGAGGAATAACACGGGGAAGCAGGAGGATAAATGAGGAATAACACAGGGAAGCAGGAGGATAAATGAGGAATAACACAGGGAAGCAGGAGGATAAATATGGAATAACACGGGGAAGCAGGAGGATAAATATGGAATAACACGGGGAAGCAGGAGGATAAATATGGAATAACACAGGGAAGCAGGATAAATATGGAATAACACGGGGAAGCAGGAGGATAAATATGGAATAACACAGGGAAGCAGGAGGATAAATATGGAATAACACAGGGAAGCAGGATAAATATGGAATAACACGGGGAAGCAGGAGGATAAATATGGAATAAGATGGGGAAGCAGGAGGATAAATATGGAATAAGATGGGGAAGCAGGAGGATAAATGAGGAATAACACAGGGAAGCAGGAGGATAAATGAGGAATAACACGGGGAAGCGGGAGGATAAATATGGAATAACACAGGAAAGCAGGAGGATAAATGAGGAATAACACAGGGAAGCAGGAGGATAAATGAGGAACAACACGGGGAAGCAGGAGGATAAATATGGAATAACACAAGGCCAGGGAAATGAGGAAGTTGGAGACAGAAATGATCCCGATGTTTCTGCAAAGTTGGTTTTCCTTCCCCAATTTTAAGCCAAAATCCCGTCTCTCCTTGTTTTTCCTTAGAGAGTCAAGGATCTATAGGATTGATGTCCCTCAACTGATAAACTGGTATTCTCCAGGATAAAGGAAGCAATTTTTAATGGACAAAAACAAGGATGAGATTAAACAATGCAGGTAAAAAAGTTGTTTAGGACTTTAGGCACTAAAAACCCCCCAAATCCACCAAAAAACCCTTAAAAACTACCAAAAAACCCCCCTAAAAACCCACCAAACCCCCAACAAAAAAAACAAAAACAAAAACACAAAAACCCCTAAAAAAGCACCAACCCCCCCTAAAAACCCACAAAACCTCCCTAAAAAAACTACCAAAAACCCACTAAATCCCACTAAAAAACTTAGAAACTCACAAAAAAAACCCTAACCCCCCAAAAAAAACTTAAAAAACACAACCCCCCACAAACCACCCAAAAAAAGCCCTAAAAAACCCACAGAACCCCACCAAACTCCCTAAAAAACGCAACAGAAAGCACAAAAGACTCCTAGGAAATCATCAAAAAACCCTTAAAACCCCATCTTAAAACCCACCAAAGACCTTAAAAAACCACCAAAACAAAGTACTAAAAAGCACCAGAAAAAAACCACTAAAAAACTTAAGAACTCACCCCAAAAAAACCCTTATGAAAAGACCAAAAAAAAAAAAAAATCAAAAACCCACTGGAAAACAACCCTAAAAAAACAGGAAAAAAACCCTAAAATCCACAAAACCCCCTCAAAAATCATGAAGAATTCTCCAACAACCTGCAGCCAGACCACAAAAATTAGAATTTAACAACAGAAATAAATACAAGCTCAGGTAATTCCTGTGATGTTTTATCCCCAAAAATCTTCATGTTTTACGGTTTTTTCCTATCTCGGTGTAACGGTGGAGACTGGGAAGGGACAATTCCCACATTTCCCATGTCCAACACATGACCAGACTCCTTATCCCAGCATCACCCAGCCATGCCCATAAACAGACAATTCCAGTCTGTTCCCAGCTTTTTCCCAGATGAAAAAACCCACACTGGGAACACAGACACCACAACAGGCTTGGACAGAAAATTCCCTGCTCGGTTATTTGGGATCTGTGCCGGTGAACTTGGAACACCTGAGTGGGAACCAGCCCACGGAGCTCTCCTGGCTTCTCTTCCCGTCATTCCTGGAGTTCCCTAAGGAATGATCCCAAGGACACCTGGAGGAAACCCGCCCTTCCCGCCCCTGCAATTCCCTGTCCTTGCCCAGGGACACTTCCAGGGGTTTGTCCCTCTTCCCTCTCACCTTTGGTTTGGTGCTTCTTTGGAGAACATCCAGGAGCTGCCGGCGGAACCCCTCCAGCTGGGAGAGCCCGATCCTGGGAGAGAGGAAAGTGGGAGTGAGGAAACCAGGCAGATGGGGTTGTGGAAAAGAGGGAGACGTGTTCGGAACACCCGGGCAGGGAATGGGACGGGGAGGGCACGTGGGCACAGAAGAACAAGGAATCACATTCAAAGGGATACCACAAGGATACGGGATCAGGGCTGGGATCTGGGATGGGGGAAAACCCGGACTGGATTAGTGCTGGAATCGGGGATGGGGGAAAACCCGGACCGAATCAGGGTGAAACTTGGAATGGGGGAAAAGCTGGACTGGATAATGCCCGGAATCTGGAATGGGGAAAACCCAGACTGGATCAGGCCCAGAATCCAGAATGGGGGAAAGACTGGGGCTGGAATCTGGAATGGGGGAAAATCTGGACCAGATCACAGTCAGAACTGGGAATGAGGGAAAATCCAGACTGGATTCAGACCAGGATCTGGAATGGGGGAAGACCCGGACTGGACTGGGCTCCAGAATGGGGGGCAACTCAGACTGGGGTAGGAATCTGGAATGGAAAAACCCCAGACTGGATCAGGCCTGGGATCTGGAATGGGGGAAAATGCAGACAGGATTGGGGCTGGAATCTGGAATGGAAAAAGCTGGAGTGGACTCGGGCTGGAATTGGGAGCGGGGGAAAAGCAGTGCAGGTTTCTGAGGCGGGCTGTCAGCCCGGAGCAGGAATGGGGGAGAGGGGCCCTGGGAACCATGGGGACAGGAATCGGGAGCAGAGCAGGGAACACGGAGGGGAGAGAGATCAGGGAACAGGGGCTGACAGTGGGATCCCAGATGCCAGGGAAGGATGACACGGAACAGGTGACTCGGGGAGGTGTCTCGGAGCTGAGTGACACCACTGAGGAAATTCCGGGATGGAGCAGGTCACGTCACCCAGGGAAACGCCAGGCTGTCTGTCCCGGCCCAAATCCCTGCTCAGCAGAACATATCCCAGGGGATGAGGAAGGTGAGAGATGCCAAGGAATGAGCTGGGTCGGAGATAGGAGATGGAACAGGAATTTTGGGACAAACATGAGGTGACGGCACATCCAAGATAACACGAGAAACCAGGAGGACGACACTGACGCTCCAGGGACCACAGTGAGTGATTCCAGAGGCAGGATATTCCCACTTTTCTGGCACACAGGAAGGATTTGCCTATAAAGAGGTGTGTGAAGCACCAACAGAGGTGCCCAGGGAAAACACAGGGAAGCAGGAGGATAAATAAGGAACAACACGAGGAACCAGGCGGATAAATGAGGAACGAGACAAGGACAGGCAAATGAGGAATCTGGAGACAGATGATCCACGTGACTTTGACAGGAAATGGATGATTTGGGGACAGGACAGCGAACACTCATGAAGGATTTGGGACACTCCTCCACTTGCCTGGGCACCAGATCTTTCCCAAGCACCACTGCAGTCACAAACTCCTTGGAATACTCCATGGCATCCTCACTGGAAGAGAAACAGGAGCAGGAAGAAGCAAACAGTGTTTCATTCCCAGGCCGGTGGCAGAGAACCAGGGGCACAAAACCCCAATCCAAGCTACTTCCAGGCTTTTGGGATTTGCACCTTGGGAAGGAAAAGCCTCACATCCACATCCCACGGCTCAAACACTCCCCTGCACGTGGCTCTGGATATACCTGGGAAAGGAAGTGCTTTAACTCAATGCCCCACAGCCATTTTCCAAGAGTTTGGGAACGGCAGGGCAGCCAAGGAAGAAGATATCCCGTGCTCCTGAGGCTACCTGACAGAGACACTGTGGAATGAAATACTGGAATATTGTGGAGAGCTCAGATGGCAAATTTCTGGAGCAACCTGAGGACTGAGAGGGAAGGAATTAAGATTCCCACTCTGTGGAGCTTCCCGGAGATGATCCTGGGCACGACACGAGTCAGGAGCTCCCAAGGGATCCGGAAGTGGGATTTCTGAACAAAAAGCCACAAAACTCCCATGGAACATCCTCCTCTGTGGCTCTGTAGCTGCAGAAAACCAGGAATGCCAACAACAAGGAATGCCAACATCCAGATCCATCAGCAGGACGGTTTAAAACCCTTGGCTGCTCCTGGAATATGATGCAGGAACCGCCACAGGGAGCTTCGGAGAATCCAGAGCCGATTTCAAGGATCCCCACGACAACTAGAAAGACCTTCCTACACTTGCCAGCAATCCCATGGGATGGTTCTGTTTGGGAATAATGTGACCAGAAGGTCTGTTCCCATTTACAATGGAAGGAATTCCCCATTAGTCTCTCCCTGGATTCCCCCCCTTGGGAGGGAAACCAGCACCCAAAAAGCACAATCCCTGTGCCCTTTTTCAGGCATCGCTTTGGAATGGGAGAAATCACATCCCAAAGCGAGGTGAAGTTTCTTTGGAAAAGGAATCCAAACAACTGGATCAGGACGGGGCAAAGAGTATGGAGATTGCATCCAACTTGCGTTTTCCATTAAAATGAGAGCCACAGACAACTCGGGAATATCTGGGAGAGCGGCCACCTGCCACCCTACCCTGAATTCCAAACTCCACCACAGAGGGAACACTCGGCAAATCCAGGCCGCCTGTCCCTCCTACTGCTCCTTAGAGGATCCCAACCGGGCCGTGCTCCAGCTCCAGTCCCACCTGTACCCCAAGACCTACCTGAGCAGCCCACCTGGGGGGGAATAGGCAAAGCACTTCAGGGAGGGGTACTGGGGGCGCAGCAGGAAGGACAGGATGGCAGCAGTTCCGGCTCCCAGGGAATGGCCAACCACAATCAGGCCGTAGTGCTTTGTCCCTCTTCCCTGGAAACCAAAACCAACAAGAAATGGCCGTCACGCCGAAAATCAACGGGGATTCATCCCCCAAATCTCTCCCTTTCCCCAGGTTTTGGAGTGGTTCTTATACACGAAAGCTCCAGATTCCGGCTGAACAGCTCCTTGCTCCGATCATGGAATCATCATGGAATCCTGGAATGGTGTGAGTGGGAAGGGACCTCAAAGCTCATCTAGTTCCAATCCCAACACCTTCCACTATCCCAGGCTGCTCCAAGACCCGTCCCACCTGGCCTTGGACACTTCCAGGGATGGGGCAGCCACAGCTTCCCTGGGAAATCCATTCCAGGGCCTCACCATCCCCATAGGGAAGGATTTCTTCCCAGTATCCCATTTGACCCCGCCCTCTGTCAGTGGGAAGCCATTTCCCCTTGTCCTGGCACTCCAGGCCCTGGAGGCTGGAATTCACTCACTTCTGGAATTCTACATCTCCATCAGTGTGTGACCTACTGGCTCTTCCCTGGAAGAAAAAAGATGGGAAGAAACGGGAAATGCACACCAGCTGTTTGAATTCTTTGGGATCTGACAGGAGCCTTTGGTCCTTCCTCAAACCTCACAGCTTCCTGATAATATCCAAATCCATGGAGAAAGTGTTTCTTTCTCCACCTCCCTGGACAGTTTTCCCTGGAATACCTGTTGCTGGCAACTGTCAGAAACAATATCCTGAGATACAGGAAGCTTTGGTGGGAGCTGGGATGGCATTTATGTACCTAAAGCCAGGAAAAATGCCTCCTGATTACCGGGAACAAACCCAACGTTCCCTTTCCAGGCAGAGAGGGATGAAGCCGGATGCCGGAGTGTCTCTCCCTCCATCCACCAAACATCCCGAGGCAGCACTTCCACAGCTATTCCCAACCCATAAACCAGGGTAAGCTGCTTCCCAACGCCTCCCTTGGGATCTCTGATAGCTCCCTGCACCAGGAACGTGCTCCCAGAGACAGCATTCCGGAGAGAACCTCCACAGAGATGGGATTTTAGTTCCCCTTGGCTCACTTTTAATGTTCCCTGTCCCGCATTCCCACGTGGGACTGCCTGCCTCAGGAAAGAGGGAATAATCAGGAGCTCTGCAGTGCTGGGGGTTCCAAAATAAAAAAGCCTCGAGGGGCAACCTGATCTTATGGAATGTTCTCTTCCCATGGCAGGGGGGTGGAACTCGAGGAGTTTTAGGGTCCTCTTACAACGCCAAATTCCAGGATTCCACGAGGGAGCTGGCAATCCAGAGGGATAGGAATTAAAGGGAGAGCTGAGAAATTAACACGAGGCATTCAGGACATGGCAACTCCCTTAAAACCCGGGTTTAGAGGGAATTCTCATCCTCTGTCTGGAAGGAAAACTGGAACTCACCAGGTCACGGCCGAAGGCTTGGGAAAGCACCATTTCCTGCTCCAGCTTCTTCTTGATGTACTCGGCAGAGAGCACCATTCCCTGCGGGAAGTGGGAAGACACAGTGGGATCCAAAGGGATGTGTGGCAGCCCCCATCCCAACGTCCAGCAGCCAAAAGCTGGGGAAGCTCCGGAGCGTCCCTTGGCACGGTCGGGATGGAGGAAAAACTGAGTCCTCTCCACATTCCAGAAGAGAAATTCTGGATCGTGCTGTTCAGGAGTAATGAGTTCTTACATTCCAAGGGCTTATTCCAAGGGCTTATTCCTGGGATCAGGGTATATTTAGAGGAAAAAACATCCCAAAAAACAACTTAAACAGGGTTGTGTGTTGGGTACTTCAGATCCCGGGATTTGTGGAAGAACACGGAAATAAACTTGGATGTTCTGAATATTCATGTTTTAATTGCCAAATTTTTCCTCTGCCAGTTAAATCTGTGAATGATTTTTCCATTTAAATCTGGGAATACAAGTGGGAATTATCCCGAGTTTACAGAGAAAACAACACAAACACCAAGAGGAAAAGTGGGAGTGCTCCCTGTACAGGAAGAGTTCCTTCCTGCCATTTCCAGTCACCACCATTAAGGGAATTTGGCTGCTAAAGGATTTAATCATAATTTAATCATAAATTATTAAAGGATTTTATTCCTTACAAGTTCAAAAGTGCTGGAAGATGGGAAAAACCACAGGCTGGGGCTCCCCATTCCTCCTCTCTGCTGAGGACTTTTGTCCCTCCGTGTATTAAATTCCAAATGGAGCTGATCCAATTCCAAATACAGGTATAAAACAAGCAACTGGAATTTGGTTTGGAATTCCAGGTGATGCTTTTCCTACAGTTTAACTCAGTGGGAAGCAAGCCTGAATTCCAAAAAAAACCAAACCCCAACCAGGGTAAACAGAAATAATCAATCTTAATTTTGGAATTACAGATCTCAAGTAATTCACACTGCCTGGACTGGGGAAAAAAAAATCAGGGAAAATCATCTCCTGGGCTGTTTTCCATTAAATAGCAGTGTAAATACAATGGGAACGGTATTGAGGATTCACTCTCCATCTCAGGGATATCACAGGATTTGTCTGCTCAAAAAACATGGAATTTTCCAAGTCCTCAGTGCCACGAATCCCATCCAATCCCAGCTGGGTGCTGGAGAGGAGGAGCAGCACTGAGGTGACTCCATGAGCACGGAAATGGGAATGTGGGACACTGGGACCACCAAAAAGGTGGTTGGTGCCTGTCTCCCAATTCCCAGCAGCTCCAAATCTTCCAGAAGAGTCTCCATTCCCATCCTCAGGAGAAGGGAACAGGCTACTGATCTAAATTCCCAAGGTGAATTTGGGATTCTATTTTTAGGAAGCATGACCCAAATCCCTGGTGGTGCCTGGTGTTAGTCAGCCTCAGGACATATTTTTGGGAATTAGATTTTAATGGAGGCAGTGATTTTAATATTATGGAATGAGACTGTAAAGTTCCATCAAAATGGAGGCTGTTCCCTAAATTTCATGGAATCCCAGGTTGGTTTGGGTTGGAATGGACCTTAAACTCATCCAGTTCCATGGGCAGAGACACCTTGCACTGGACTGGGATGCTCCAAGCCTTGTCCAACCTGTCCTTGGGCAATTCCAGGGATGTGCATCCATAGATCCTCCAGGCAACAGATTCAATTTCAAGGGAATTAAACAATTTGGGCTTAATTTTGGAACCTCACACGTAAATAACCAAATGGATCCGAGATTTAGGGAAAGGGGATGGGAATGTCCTGTCCTGCTTCGCCATCCAAAGGCAAGGAACTGCTCTGGGATAGATGAGATTTGGGGGGAAAGCCTCAGAGGGGTCTATTTTATAGGGAAAAACCCCATCTAGGGGCTGGAACGGGATCTTTAATGTCCCTTCCCACCCAAACCATTCCAGGATTCCAGTTCCTAAAGCAGAGCATCAAAGCCCAGGGAAGAGGTTTGGCATTCAGGACACACCCTGGAGGAAGGAGGGGCTCCCAAGGAATTCCAGGCTCCATATCCCACCTCGGGCAACAACTCCTCTCCTCCAGCAGCACCCCCAGCTACTGCTCCCTTCCTTCCAGCCCTCAATTCCCCTTTCCCAACCTGGCACTGCATCCTGGCCAGCTCCCAAATTCCTGAGCAGCTCAAAGACTTGCCATTATTTTGTCAGACGGGGGCAAAGGGCAGCTCTGGAATAAATGGATTCAGTTATCCCAGGGCTGCTCACAGACAGGGAGCATCCCTCAAACTGCACGGATGCCAGTCCTGCCAGGGTCCTTGGAGGACATTCCCGTCTCCAAACACACTCCCAGAGTTTCACTGCAAATTCTGAGAAGGTCGTTGGAAGGCCAAGTCATTTGGATGACTCCAGGAGTTTCAGTCCGGGTCTCCAGGATGTCTTTTCCAGTTTGGATGTCACTAATTGGACGGAGTTTTTTAATTAAACACCCAGTGATTTTAACTGTTCCCGGAGATTTTAACTGTTCCCAGGGATTTTAACTGTTCCCACTGATTATTCAACGCCTCAAAGCCCTTTTGCTGCAGTCCTGGAACGTCCTTTTTAAAGTAATTATGCCCATTTTGGGGGGCTGGTAATTAAAAAAGCAAATAATGAGAAAAATTGAGGGGCTTTCGTTTGGTTTTGGTTCTCAGAAAAAAACTGTGAGGAAGATGAGAGAAAACCCAGAGGAAAAGGGAGAGGGGGAAAAGGAGAGAAAAATCAAGGGAAAAAGGAGAGAAAAATCAAGGGAAAAAGGAGAGAAAAATCAAGGGAAAAAGGAGAGAAAAATCAAGGGAAAAAGGAGAGAAAAATCAAGGGAAAAAGGAGAGAAAAATCAAGGGAAAAAGGAGAGAAAAATCAAGGGGAAAAGGAGAGAAAAATCAAGGGGAAAAATGAGAGAAAAATCAAGGGGAAAAATGAGAGAAAAATCAAGGGGAAAAATGAGAGAAAAATCAAGGGGAAAAATGAGAGAAAAATCAAGGGGAAAAAGAGAGAAAAATCAAGGGGAAAAAGAGAGAAAAATCAAGGGAAAAAGAGAGAAAAATCAAGGGGAAAAGAGAGAAAAATCAAGGGGAAAATGAGAGAAAAATCAAGGGGAAAAATGAGAGAAAAATCAAGGGGAAAATGAGAGAAAAATCAAGGGGAAAAATCAGAGAAAAATCAAGGGGAAAATGAGAGAAAAATCAAGGGGAAAATGAGAGAAAAACCAAGGGGAAAAAGGAGAGAAAAATCAAGGGGAAAAATCAGAGAAAAATCAAGGGGAAAATGAGAGAAAAATCAAGGGGGAAATGAGAGAAAAATCAAGGGGGAAATGAGAGAAAAATCAAGGGGGAAATGAGAGAAAAATCAAGGGGAAAATCAGAGAAAAACAAGGTTTGGGTTGGTTTTGGTTCCCCTCCTTCCCCTGCCCTCACCTTGTGTCCCAGCCACGTCCCGTGGTGCCCCTCGACTGGCAGGCGCTCGGCGTCCCCGGTCAGATCCGTCAGGGCATCCTGGAAGAAAGGCATCCTTGCTCCAGGTGAGTCAACTCCGGGGCGGGAATGCCTCCGGAACTCTCCGGGACGTGCCCCCGGGGCAGCCCCCGGCCCCCCCACTTACTTTTGGGGACAGCGTCCCTCGGATGCTGATCACCACCTTCTTCTTGTCGTGGTCCACGGCCACGTAGAAAGGGGTCTCGTAGACCTGGGAAAGACCGGGAGAGGCTGGATTATCCACGGGGAAAAGGAGGTTGTTTCTGCCCAGAGGAGGTTGTTTCTGCCCAGAGGAGGCTGTTTCTGCCCAGAGGAGGCTGTTTCTGCCCAAAGGAGGCTGTTTCTGCCCAAAGGAGGCTGTTTCTGCCCAAAGGAGGCTGTTTCTGCCCAAAGGAGGCTGTTTCTGCCCAAAGGAGGCTGTTTCTGCCCAAAGGAGGCTGTTTCTGCCCAGAGGAGGTTGTTTCTGCCCAAAGGAGATTGTTTCTGCCCAAAGGAGGTTGTTTCTGCCCAAAGGAGGTTGCTTCTGCCCCCAGGTGAAGGAATTTTCTGACGGAGCCCCACTGCGGGTGCGGAACGAGGCCGGATTTTCCCTCCTGGTGCCGCCCCGTTGGAACGCGGGTAAATCCCCCGGGAAGGGGGCCCGGCTGGAATGGGAAGGGGTCTCGGCTGGCCCTTACAGCGTCGTGGCAGGAGGTGTAGACGATGTCCACGGAGGTCATGTTCTCGTCCAGGAAGTGGCGCCGGATGGCGATGGCGTTGCAGCCGCAGCAATTGTCCTCCTCGATGGTGACGCCCGGGGCGTAGCGGGGCCGGGAGGGACACAGGCAGCAGCACCTGCTGGGAGAGCACAGCTCTGAGGGGGAAAGGCTGGGTTCGGGGTGCAGTTCCCCTCCGAGCCACGCCGGCTTCCTCCAGACTCGGAGCGAGCGAGGGTGAAACCACTAAATTCCCCCTTTCAGCCAACAAAAGGACATCGGGATCGGGTGTAGTTTTCCTGCCGAGCACCAGAGAGAGCTCCAGCACAAGCAGTTCCCGAGGAATCCAAGGGATAGCTCCTCAAGGGACACTACACAGACACACTGGAGCGTTTCCTGAGCTCCAGGTTTATTTACGGCAGAAGAGCAGGTCTGGAATCAGCCCAGAACAGAATGAAAAGCACAGATTGATCTTCCCTCTTTCCTTCTCGCAAATAAAAGTATTCCCAAGGAATTAAATTCCTCCCAAGAGCCCAGAAGTTGCCAAAAGCTCATCCCCAAATTGAATCTGGGGACGGAATTGTGGCAAACACTTGAATCCCGAGCTGGAAAAATCCAACTAGTGGGAGAGAGCACAGCCCAAATCTTGGAAGTGTTTTAATCAGGATCCAAATTTCAACGCCCTGATGGGTGAGAAATCAGGTTTTTTTGAGCTCCAAGAAGTTCTTTGGGACTGGGTTTTGTGCCAGGTGGGATCTCCCCACTGGCTGTTCCAGCTGGCACCGGAGAGGACGGAGCAGAGGACGAGGGGGTTTATTTACAAGATGGAAGGGATCTGGGAAGCCTTTGGAATGGGAGGCACGGAGAGACGGGAGGAGAAAGCAGGAGCAGAGAAGGAGCAGAGAAGGAGCAGAGAAGGAGCAGAGAAGGAGCAGAGAAGGAGCAGAGAAGGAGCAGAGAAGGAGCAGAGAAGGAGCAGAGAAGGAGCAGAGAAGGAGCAGAGAAGGAGCAGAGAAGGAGCAGAGAAGGAGCAGAGAAGGAGCAGAGAAGGGATGGGGAGCAAGTGATGACACAAATACGGGGAATGGGGATTTCTAAGTCCGGGGGAAATCCAGGGGATTTCTGCCGGGGGGGCTGAGGAGGAGGGATGTGGGGCTGAGGAGGAGGGATGTGGGGCTGAGGAGGAGGGATGTGGGGCTGAGGGTGGAGGGGGCACTCACGAGCAGGATCTGGCCAGGCGACAGAGTCCACAGGTGGGCTTCCTCATGAGGTAAATGGGCCAGCCGTAGGCGGCCAGCGCGAAGAGCATGTAGTAACACACCTCCCGGTACCGCTGCATCTCTTGCTGCAACACACGGACACGCGGGGAGCTCCGGGAATGCTCCTCCTCACTCCTGCTCCCACAGTCAGACCCCCTCGCTGACACCCCCCTCCTCCCCTGGGCAGCCAGGTGGGCATGTTGGGCGAGATCCATCCCATCCCAGCGGGCTCCGTGTGTTCTCCTGAGGGGTTTTCCTCTGTAGCCCACCCTGCTGCCAAGGAAGCAGCCCCCTGCAGGTTTGGGAATGAGCTCCCGAAATATCCTGCTGCCAACAGGCCACGGGATGCCCAGAGAGGGACATAAAGGTGGTTTAGGGCCGTGTGTCTCAGCTGGGTCCTGGGAAAGGTCACTTATCCTGGACAGCTGGAGGAGGAAGGAGGAAGAGAGAAGGGAGGGAAAAGGGAAGAGAAGGAGGAGAGAGAGGAGGAAAGGAAGAGAGGGGAGAGGAAGAGGAATGAAGGAGAGGGAGGAAAGAGAGAAAGAGGGAGAGGGAGAAGGAAGAAGAGAGGAGAGAGAGGGAGAGGAAGAGGAGGGGGAGAGGGAGGAGGAGGAAGAAGAAGGAGAGAAAAAACGGTCGCGGAGTCGGGGAGGAGTTTAAGGAGAAAGGGAAGTCGAGAGAAAGCGCGTGGGATAGCTAGTAGGGAGGTAGGGGAGAGTAAAAAGAAGGAGAAGAGAAGGAGAGAAGAATAGGTCGCTGTATGGCAAGGAGGGAAAGGGCTTGATTTCAACGCAATCAGTGCCTGTGTGCAGAGGTTTCCCATGTCCCCAATCAGGGGGTAAAAATCCAGGGGCCAAAAAATCAGGGTGGGGAAAAATCAATGGGAAACACCAATCAGGGTGGGAAAAAATCAGGGTGGGGCAATCCATGTGGGAAAAAATCATGTGGGAAATCTGGGGAGAAAATATCAGGGGGCAAAAATATCAGGGGGCAAAAATATCGGGGGCAAACATATCGGGGGCAAAAAATATCCGGGGGGGCAAAAATATCGGGGGGGCAAAAAATATCGGGGGGGGGATCGGGGGCAAAAATATCCTGGGGGCCCGGGCGGGGGGCAAAAATATCGGGGGGCCAAAAATATCGGGGGCAAAAGATCGGGGGGCAAAATAGCGGGAGGCAAAAAAACCGGGGGGCAAAAAAAATCAGGGGAGGGAGGGAATCAGGGGGGGAAAAAATAAGGGGGAAAAAATCAGGGGGAAAAAAATCAGGGGGGAAAAAATCAGGGGGGAAAAAATAAGGGGGAAAAAAATCAAGGGGGGGAGAAAAAATCAGGGGGGAAAAAAATCAGGGGGGGAAAAAATCAGGGGGGAAAAAAATCAGGGGGGAAAAAAATCAGGGGGGAAAAAAATCAGGGGGGAAAAAAATCAGGGGGGAAAAAAATCAGGGGGGAAAAAAATCAGGGGGGAAAAAAATCAGGGGGAAATCGGGAGAAAAAAATCAGAGGGGGAAAATCAGGGAGGGAGGGAATCAGGGGGAGAAAAAAATCAGGGGGGGAAATGAGAAAAATCAGCAGGAAAGGTGAGGTGGGAAAAATTAAGAGAGAAATCCGAGACCTGGAATTTCTCAGATTATTTCTGAGAGGGGCAGAAAGGAACAAGAGAAGCCAGTGAGGAAGAGAAAGCAGGTTCCACAGGAGAGCTTCCAGGACCCCACATTCCAGGGACTTACCGCGTTCTTCAGATCCAGGTACTTGGTGTTCCTGGTCACCGGCATTCCCGACAGGAAAGCCAGGATGTCGTTGTTTGCCTGGAAATCCCAAACACACAGGAAAAGTCTTACCAAAATCTACTCCCAGTTATCCCAACCAGGCTCCTCAAATGCTTCCCAATGGTTTTACTCCCGAATTTCAAGTCAAGGGGGAAAAACTAAACAAACAAAAAAACCCCAAACAAATAAGTCAATTTTCTCCTGGGTTGACAATTTGAAGATGTGAACAATGGCTTGGAAATTTAGGAATTTTTCTTCCTGAAGCTTGCTGGAGTCTCCTCCACATCACAGGGAATAATCCTCCCAATTGATAATATGGTGGGAATAATCCTCCCAATTGATAATATGGTGGGAATAATCCTCCCAATTGATAATATGGTGGGAATAATCCTCCCAGTTGATAATTCAGTGGGAATAACCCTGCCAATTGATAATATGGTGGGAATAATCCTCCCAGTTGATAACATGGTGGGAATAATCCTCCCAGTTGATAATTCAGTGGGAATAATCCTCCCAGTTGATAATTCAGTGGCAATAATCCTCCCAATTGATAATTCAGTGGCAATAATCCTCCCAATTGATAATTCAGTGGCAATAATCCTCCCAATTGATAACATGGTGGGAATAATCCTCCCAGTTGATAATTCAGTGGGAATAATCCTCCCAGTTGATAATACAGTGGGAATAATCCTCCCAGTTGATAATTCAGTGGGAATAATCCTCCCAGTTGATAATTTAGTGGGAATAATCCTCCCAATTGATAATTTAGTGGGAATAATCCTCCCAATTGATAACATTGTAGGAATAATCTTCCCAATTGATAACATGGTGGGAATAATCTTCCCTACAACCCCCTTCAAGGCTTTTTTGGGATCGAGAGCTCCACCTGTACTTGCGGATGACAAACTCCCAACTCGACTCAGCGTCAGCTGGGAAAAACCACCGGGGAAAAAAAACCTTGGGAGAAGCCGCTTCAGTCCGTTATTATCATTTTGAATTCCCAGCTCAGCAAGCGGGAACAGCCCGGGAGGGAGGCGGGGGGAGGCCCGTGGTGCTCCCGGGAAGGCTCCCGGGGTTCCCGTGCCCACCTCGTCCAGGACGGCGCTGCGCTTGGCCCGCTGCCGCTGCCGCAGGAGCACCAGCCCCGCGATGATGTCCGAGGGGACGATGTCCAGGTCCCGGAAAAACTCCGCGAAAAGGTAGGCGATCTCGGAATAGGCATCCTGGAAAACCCCGGGAGACAGGAGGGGTCACGGCGGTTTGGGAGTGGCCTCCAAACGGGACAGGTTCCTGGAGATCCACGGCATTCCTTCGGGAATGCCAGACCCGGACTAATCAGGGAATTATTGCCTCCTGTTTGCTTCCCGCGTTCCCACTCGGAGGCGGGGTTTGTCCTGGGGGAAGGAGAACACCCAAACATCCCAGGCAGGCACAAAGGGAGGGAAAGGGAATGTTTTGGGATCCGTATATTAAATAAAACAGGGGGACAACGATGAAAACCAAGCAAATCCCAATCCGGAGTCACCTTGGAGTCATCCTTATCCTCAAAAACACAATAAAGGCTATTCCAGGGGGAAAAAAGGACTCATTTTGTCCTATTCACAGTCTCTTAAATTCTAAATTTGTCCTGGGATCCTGTTCCCAAATTTAACCCAGCCCCTGGGATCCTGTTCCCAAATTTAACCCAGCCCCTGGGATCCTGTTCCCAAATTTAACCCAGCCCTGGGATCCTGTTCCCAAATTTAACCCAGCCCTGGGATCCTTTTGCCTAAATTTAACTTGCCCATATTTAATCCAGACCCAGAATTCCTTTTGCCCATGTTTAAGCCAGATCTGGGATCCTTTTCCCAGACTGAACACAGATCTGGGATCCCTTTTTCCCCACATTTAACCCAGCCCTGGGATCCTCTGGCCCCTATTGCCAGGCTTTTCCAGCTTTATTTGGGATGGCACCCAAGCAAAAAGGCCTGAAAGGGAAAACCTGGAAAAAGACCTGAGTCACTAAATGCAGAATTCCCAGGGGAGAAGGTGATCAATCCCAAAAAAGGAGGGACAGAACTGGAAGGGACCTGAGAGGGTCACACAAAGGCTCTGGAGCAGAGGGACAAAAATGCTGAGGAGGAATGTTCTTTTTCCACCTTTTTCTCTGTGCTACAGGGGAAAAAAAAAAACACAAAAGCCTGAAGGAAAACATTTTGGGAAGCGGGAGACGGGCTGGAATGTGAGTCAGAGCTGATGTGTCATTGCTGCAGCCGAAGGAAAAGGGTGATCCAGAGGTTGGAATGTGGGGCTGGAGCAAACCAACGGTATTTTGGCTCCTGCCGCCCCAAACCTTTCCTTCCAAGGATTATCAGAGCCTTATCCTAAACTTTTATCCCAGGTTTTCATGGTATCCTTTTTGGGGAAATGCTGAGCACTTTCCAGGCCAGGATTCCTCCTCTCTTTTCTCTGACCATCAAGGCAGTAAATCCCTTCTTTTCCCAGCAGGAATGACAGCCTTGCTCCCGCAGGAATGACCTACATCCCTTTATCCCTGCCACACTCCTGGAGTGCAGGAGGACTTCCAATCACTCCTCACTTCCCTACACAGGTGAGTGAAGTGCCCATTAAGGGATAGGGATCCAGGGGCCAACTGTGCCAGAGGTGCCTTTGGAAAGCCCGGCATTAACCTCTCCAACATTCCAACCGCAGGATCCTTGAAATCCTGACCTCCCAGATCCCAGCCCAGCCCCTCTAAGCTCACCAGCCTCCAAACAAATTAGGGAAAACATCCATTAATCCAAAGTGGCAGCAACACCCCCGGATGCTCCGACCAAAAAGGGCTGTCCTGGAACTTTAACGTGGATTTTCTGCTCCAAAGGAAAAGCTTTTTGTCAGAACACCCGATACTATTCCTGTTTGGACACCTGGGATCCTTTTGTCCACCTTTAACCCAGACCTGGGATCCTTTTGTCCACCTTTAACCCAGACCTGGGATCCTTTTGTCCATCTTTAACCCAGACCTGGGACCCTTTTCCCAAATTTAACCCAGACCTGGGATCCTTTTTCCCAAATTGTTGCAGGGGAACACCTGGAATGTTCTGCTACAAACCCTGAAGGCTCTGGGGCTTCCCATTCATCCTTTCCCCAATTCCATGTCCACTCCACAGAACTCTTTTCCAGCCCAAAGGACAAGGATCCTCTGCTACAACAAGGGTTTTTTTCCCCATGAAAACCGGGAGAGACAGCAATGGATTCATTTCTGATCCATTCATTCCACAGGCTGCCATTCCAGGACACACAAAGTCAGAGCTCGTTCCTGCAGGGAAAAGAGGCTGGAAATGGCTCCAGCTGGATATAAAGTGGGAATTCAACAGCACGAGGAATGTGAAGAGTCTGGAATCTGCTTTCACCCTGAAGTAAAAAACAAACCAGGGAGAAACATTCCCTGCAGGGACCAAAAGCAGAGGAGACGTGGTCTCTGCAGAATGAAAGGTTTGTTAAGAGCTTGGAATACTTGGAATACTTTGCAATCCTGAGCAAAGTGGGAGTTGTTCAGGAATCAGGACCTTTGGGTGCCTGTCAGGGCTCTCCCAGGTTTTGCTTTTCCTGCTGGATTTCCCGAGCAGAGGAGCTGGGAGCTGGCAGGACTTCCCAGCAGGACGGGGCCGGGACGTTCCCTGGGAACACAGCGGCATTCCAGCCAGGGAAAGGGATCCTGGCAGGGGGCTGGATTCCTGCACAAGGCCTGGGCCAATTCCCGCAGCTTCTGGAAGCTGCACCCCGTGGATAATTCCTGACAAAACCCTGTTAATCCAGTTCATCCCAGCTGCCCTCCATGAGGAATAACGGCGGCCTTCACCTGACCCTCCTTGATTTTCCCACCTTTCCCTTTGGAATTTCAATTCCAGACGCATTTCTCTTCCTCTCTAGATTCATCTCCCTTCCCAACACGCTCCTGTTCCTGCTGCATCCCTCTGGAAGCAGAGCTCCAGGCTATATTTAGCCAGGCCACGCCGCTGTGGTCGCTCCCTGGGTCTTTTCCCTTTCATTTTCCTGCCCTTCCAACCGGAGTCAAACATCTGGGGCCGCTGCTGGTTTTCCTGGAATGTCCCTGAGAACTCCCAGCTTTCTCCCTGCCAGGCTGTAACTCATCCAGGGCTCGGGGATTTCAGCTGTTCCTTCGGGAGTCCCAGATCTCCTTGGCTTTTGTGGCTTCCTCCTGCCTTTGGGAGCAATTCCCTGCTTCTGCCGGCTCCTTCAGGAGCCCTCAAACACTGGGAATTCCGACTCAATTCAATAGAGCAAGTTATCAGGCAGGTTTTCCACGTTTTTCCCAGCACCAAGGTCCTGAGGAATGCTGCTGAATCCCTACAGCTACTCCCACTGCTTCCCAAAAGAACGGAATGGTAACTTCTGGGGAAGGAATATCAAGCCCTGTCCCCTTCCCTGCAAGGGAAAATCCCAACTGCAGAACAGGAAGATTCCCACTAATCTCCCCGTGGATCTACGGATTAAGTACTTTTTGGCTGTTAATAAATCCAGAATATTTTGCTGGATATTTTTCCAGGTTTGTATTTTCCCATTCCCAAATCCTCCTCTTTAAGGATACAGGACTGATCCAAAAAACCAGGAGAAACTGCCTCAGCAAACTGGCTGGGAAGGGAAAAGGGAGCTGACTGGGAATTGCTGCCAGATTTGATCCTAAAGCTTGCAAACCCCCGGATTTCTCCCAGCGATATCCCAGATTTCTGGCTCCCACAGGGAATTTCTGGTACCCACCGACTGCGAGTCCTTTGTCCTCGTGCAGCAAAGGAACACTTTGAGCCTCCTTGTCCAGCTGCTGGCCTGGCCCTCCTCCAGCCGGTGTCTGGGAATAACGGGAACAGCGGGAATGTGAGCACGGGGACAACGTGGCCACGGGAGGGGTTTCCAACACTGGAAAAACAGGTGCTGATCCCTGTCCTTCTGCTTATCCTGGACACCACAGACAGATGAACTCGGCTCCTTTTATAGGACAGGGAGGTCAGGAACCACGGGATCATGGAATCAAGGTTGGAAAAGACCTTTAGGATCACGGAGTCCAGCACTAATCCATGTCCCCAGGTGCCAGATCCACATGGATTTTAAATCCCTCCAGGGATGGGGACTCCACCTCTGACCTGGACAGCCTGTTCCAACCCTTTCCAGGAAGGAATTTTCCATAATATCCAACCTAAACATCCCCTGGTGCAGCTTGAGGCCGTTTCCTCTCCTCCTGTCCCTTGTTCCCAATCCCCCCCCGGCTCCCCCCTCCTGTCAGGGAGTTGTATGGAATGGGAAGGTCCCCCCTGAGCTGTTCCTGGTGCTCCAGCCCCTTCCCCAGCTCCACTCCCTTCCCTGCACACGCTCCAGAGAAGGGCAATCCAGCTGGTCTGGCTTGGAAGGGATTTTAAGGATCATCATGTTCCACCTTCCCCTATCCCAGGTCGCTCCAAGCTCCCTCCAACCCAGCCTCGGACACCTCCCGGGATGGGGCAGCCACAGCTCCTCTGGGAAAGCCATTCCAGGGCCTCCCCACCCTCCCAGGGGAGAGTTTCTTCCCCATATCCCATGGAAACCCACCCTCCTGCAGCTTAAGGCCACTGACTCCATGCTCCCTGAAATCCAAGGCTCCTCTAGGGCAGGGCCTTTTTTTATGGAAACACAGATTTAATCCAGGTCAGAGCAATCCAAAATAAAACCCCGCTCCATTTTCCATCAGGGGATCCCACTGGGATAAACCCAAGGCCAGGAAGTGGGTTGTGCCTGGAAGGAAAAGGTGCTGGGAAAGGAATGTTTGCCTGGAAGAGAAGGAGCAGATCCCACAGGCAATCCAGCACCTCCTGCCTGAACATCCAGAACCTTGTGGAAGATTCCAAAGGAGCAACGGGAATAGGAGCGGGCTAAGAGCCAGCAGGGCTCTGCTCTCCAAGATCCCAAAGGAATTCCACAACCTCACTGCAGGGGTGGAACACCCAAGTGTGCTCTCAGCTATTTTCCCTCCAAAATTCCCAAATTATTTTTTCCCAACGCTTTCCTTCCCCGTGTTCAGCAGGAGCTCCTTGGAAAAGCCTCGGCACGAGGAGCTGAGCCTTTGGCTGGGTTGTTTTCCTTCCTCAGCCCACACATCCCGAAGGGAATGGAAAACCACCCTGGCACACAATCCAGCCAGGCAGAGAATTCCCTAATCTACTCCTGGAAACCCATTCCAGAGCCTCACACCCTCCCAGGGAAGGCTTTTTCCCTATTTCCCACAAAATCATCACAGCTGCTCATCCTGGGAACGCCCTGATCCCAAGCAGGAATCCCCACGCTGGGCTGACAGGGCATTCATTCCCAATATTCCACACACTGGAAAGGTCAGGAGGAATGTCCAGCGTTCCACAACAAAACCCAGCCTCTCCTTCCAACAAAACTTGAGGCCTGATCCTTAGAAAAGCCCAGTTTTCCTTCCCAAAGGAAAACTTCCCATCTCAAGCCACTGGAAAAGCCCAGGGTTCAAAACACACAAAGCCAAGGAAAAACGTGGAATTTGCAGCGGATTTTTGAAAAGCCTCATTTTTTACCCCTTTGAATCCCAGGGACTCCAAAGGCACATTCCTCAAGGACAGGCACAGATGTCAGAGGAAACAGAGCCTGTTTGTGTTGTCTCCTACTGGAAAAAAAATCCTTCGGAAAATGCTTGTCTGGGTGAAAAAAAAACCCTTTTCTCTTCCCATCTGGGAAGCTCCAAGATGGAATCAATCCTTAATTAAAAGATCCCAGTGCCAACACAACAGGAATTGTTTCCTGGCCAAGAAACCTCAGGGCAAAGGGTTGGATTTTGGAGAAAACGAAGGAAGAAAAGGGGATTTAGAAGGAGATGCTGCCACAATTTAAGGAAAATTTCAGCACTGCCCTAATGAATCCAAGGAAAACACTGCTCCAGGATGGGCAAACAAGGGTTTGCTCAGCCTGGAGAAGGGAAGGCTCAAGGGAGACCTTGGAGCCTCTTCCAGGGCCTAAAGGGACTAAAGAGAGCTGGGAAAGAAGTCTGGAAAAGGACCTGGGGTGACTGGACAAGGGAGAATGGCTTCCCACTGCCAGAGGGCTGGGATAGATGGGATACTGGGAAGGAATGCTTCTCTGGGAGGGTGGAGAGGCCCTGGAATGGATTTCCCAGGGAAGCTGTGGCTGCCCCATCCCTGGAATTGTTCCCGGATGGGGTTTGGAGCGCCCTGGACTAGTGGAAGATGTCCCAGCCCACGGCAGGGGGTGGAACGAGATGTTCCGTAAGGTCCCTTCCAACCCAAACCATTCCAGCATTCCATGATGATTCCATGACCTCTCCTTGCACCCATTTTGCGTCGTTTCCTCTCACACTTAAATTCCCAAATTCAGACGATTTGTCGAAGGAATCCCCTTAAAACCACCCCAGGAATAAAAAGGGGACTGCAAACCACGTAAGAATCGTTCCCGCATCCATCAAATCCAAGCCTGTTCCCTCACCTCTATATCCTTGCTTTTTGTCCCCTGGAAAACCCCGTGATCCCGCAGTTTCCAAGGGAGACCCGCTGGGATCTGCTCTGTCCCAGCGGGGCAGCGGAACCAGCCCAGGGTTGATGGGCACGGTCCCATCCAACCCGAGCACCCCGAGGGCCAGGATCCCCCGAGGGCCAGGATCCCCCCGAGGGCCAGGATCCCCCCGGAGTGCCAGGATCCCCCTGGAGTGCCAGGATCCCCCTGGAGTGCCAGGATCCCCCCTGGAGTGCCAGGATCCCCCCGGAGGGCCAGGATCCCCTGGAGTGCCAGGATCCCCTGGAGTGCCAGGATCCCCCGAGGGCCAGGATCCCCCGAGGGCCAGGATCCCCCTGGAGTGCCAGGATCCCCCCGGAGGGCCAGGATCCCCCCGAGGGCCAGGACCCCCCGGAGTGCCAGGACCCCCCCCCCGGAGTGCCAGGATCCCCCCGGGGCCAGGATCCCCCCGAGTGCCCGGATCCCCCCAGGCCAGGATCCCCCCCAGCATGCCAGGATCCCCAAGACCCCGCATTCCCCCCCCGGCCAGGATCCCCCGAGGGCCAGGAGGCCCCCCGAGGGCCAGGATCCCCTGGAGTGCCAGGATCCCCCCGAGTGCCAGGATTCCCCCGAGTGCCAGGATTCCCCCGAGGGCCAGGATCCCCCGGAGGGCCAGGATCCCCCGGAGGGCCAGGATCCCCCGGAGGGCCAGGATCCCCCGGAGGGCCAGGATCCCCCGGAGGGCCAGGATCCCCCGGAGGGCCCCTCACCTGAGGTTGTAGGTGCGGAGGTTGCGCTGCCGGCGCTTGGTCGCCCGGAGCTTGACGAAGGTCCTGCCAGTGGGGTCGAAGACGCAGAGCACGGTGATGCAGACGCTCAGGATCACCACCCAGTTACACACCACCATCCCTGCAGGACAAAAACCGCGGGAATGGCGCGCTCCGGCCCTCGCTTCCCGCCTCGAACCCACCTGGGCTGTCCTGCGGCCGAAGGAAACCCCCCCGGGAAAGCTCCCAAACCGCAGCCGGATGAGTTTGCCCGGCTGTTTTGTGGGGTTGTTGGACACCCCCGGAATATCCAGGACTACAGCACGAGCACATTCCCACCAGGAGGCGGGAAAAGAGTTCCAGGGAAAGAGCGAAGCCATTTTGAAGGGGAAAAGCCGGATTTCCAGACTCCCCCCTTCCCGCCCTTTCCCCGGGAACACGAATCCCTGTCTCGGCGCCAACGGAACGACTGTTCCAGCAATGAACAGGGAGACAAGGGGCGCATTGACAGCTCCGATCCACTTCCAGGCGTCCATCCCCAGCCGGCGGGAGGGAACGGCGGCCGTGGATCCGCCGGAACGCGCCCCGGCATTCCCGATCCATACCCAGAGTGACGCTCTTGGCCGTGAGGTCGTTGCAGGAGGTGTAGTACTGGGTCAGCCACACGATTCCCACGATGGCATAGACGAACTCGATCACCAGGATGGCTGGGAAGAGAGGGAATACCGTGGGTAACGGCGGCGTTTCCCCGAGGATTGATGCCTCTCCCTGTTTTCCAGCGAGGAAACGCAGGGACGAGTTACTCGGCACGGAAGAAAAACGCTTTGGAAGGGGATGTTCGAGGAAATGAAGCAAAAATGTGACTGCTCCCAAAAAAAAAAAGAAAAAACGGGATCATGGAGAGGTCAGTGCCCTTGGCTGTGTCAGGGTGTGACTCACAGACCCACATTCCACCCACGCTGCTGGAAAGACTCCCTGAGGCACCGGGAATTGTGGGATCCAGGTCTTAACCACCTCAGACGGTCGGCCTGGCTCCCAGATCCCAAAGAAGTCCCGTGTTTCCAGGATTTCTACACTTAGGAAACGTTCCCAGCACCCCTGCAGCCTTCCAGGAACAGCTCCCAGGACACATTCCTTAAGGAATCACTTCCTGGCTCCTCAGTTTTACTCTGATAAGGGACATGAAACTGGGCATTCACAGTGGTTTTCCTGGAATAAAAAAGCTGGGAAATGGCTCCCGGGTGCCCATCCTCCCACTTCCCAGAATCCCAAAGAATAAGCAGGCACTCAGGCATGGAGAAGGTAAATAACTCACTTGGGAACTCCTTGGGATGGAGCCGAGACTAAACCCAGCCCGGCCTAATCCCACCCCCTCTCCCCATCCATGAGGATCTTTCCACAAGTGGTTTTGCCACAGGCCTGGAAAAACCAGTTCCAAGAGTTTTCCTGGGCAAGGACCCAGGGTTGGAACCGGCTCCCGCTCATCCCCACCTATGCCTTAAACCCGAGCCAGGCTTTGCTAAGCTCGGCTCTTCTCCCCTCTGCCGGCACCTGCTGCGGGACAGGAGCAGGGACGAGACATTCCCGGGCTCCTACGGGAGTTCATTCCCTAAATTTCTCCGCATTAACCGGCACAGCCCTAAACTGGGACAGTCACATGGACCTTGCCCACGCACCGGTCACATTCCCACTTCCCTCAGCAGCGCTGATGAACCACCGGGAGCAACAACCTCCGGGAAACAGGGACACAACCGGCCCACGAGCCGGCGCAAATCCCGGCCCGGAGCTGAGGGAAGGAAAGGGGATGTTCCTTGGGGCAGGAAAACGTCTCCTTGGATTTTCCCCACCTCCCTCGCCCCGGGTTTAGTCCGGGTTTAACACAAATTTCCAGCTTCCCTAGGGAAGGCCGGGAAGCTGGGCAGGGAGATTGGAACTGCCGAGCCAGGTCATCCCTGCTTTTTACTGGATTCCGCAGGAAAACAACCCGGCAAAAAAGCAGGGATGTAAAGCCACGAGATGCTTTGTCTGGATCTGCGTTTCCAGAAGGTTTTTTCCCGTAAAACCTTCCCCAGGGCACAGCAAAAACCTGATTAAATTCCTGCAGCTGGGAGACCACAGAACACAGGGAAAAACACAGGGAAAAACCAGCCCTGGCTGAGAACTCAAGGAATAATCTCTCCCTGCTCTAGTTCTTCTTGGATGGGGGAGACAGGGAATGTTCTTAGGGAGAGACAATGTGCACTTTTAGGGAGAGAAATATGGGACTGGGATTTGGGGAAATGTGGAGGGTTTGGGGGTTTCAGGATTCCGGGGTTTTGGGGAATTTGGAGCACTTTGGGGGGCTTGGGATTTTTGGGGCATCTGGGGGGTTTTGGAGCCTTTTAGGGATTTGGGGGAGTTTGGGACATTTTGGGGGTTTTGTGGTGCTTTGGGGAATTTGGGGCACTTTGGGAGGGTTTTGGGGGTCTCCCAACACCTCAGGGGAATTTGGGGGCCACAGAGATGCCCATTTGGGGCTGAAAAATGGCTTTATTTGGGCTTTCAGGGGGGATTTTATGTCTTTTGGGAAGAGATGGATTTTTGGGGAGGGGTTTTGGGGTTTTTTGGGGGAGGAATTTCGAGGGTGTTTGGGGTGACAAAGTCACCGATTTTGGGCTGAAAAAGCGCTTTACTTGGGGCTTTGGGGGGATTTTATGACTTGGGAGGAGATGGTTTTTTGGGGAGGAATTCTGAGGGTGTTTGGAGGGGTTTGAGGGTCGCTTGGGGGCAAAGAAGTGCTTAATTTGGCCTTTTTGGGGGGGATTTTATGCCTTTTGGGAGGAGCTGGATTTTTGGGGGGTTTGGGGCATTGGGAGGAGGAGGAATTCTGAGGGTGTTTGGAGGGGGTTTTGGGTCACAAAGATGCCAATTTGGGGCTGAAAAAGCACTTGGGGTTTTGGGGGGGATTTTATGACTTTTGGGAGGTGATGGTTTTTGGGGAGGAATTCTGAGGGTGTTTGGAGGGGTTTTGGGGTCACAAAGGCACCAATTTGGGGGCGAAAAACTGCTTAATTTGGCCTTTTGGAGGGGGATTTTATGCCTTTTGGGAGGAGTTGGATTTTTGGGGGCTTTGGGGTTTTGGAGAGAGGAATTCTGAGGGTGTTTGGAGGGGTTTTGGGGTCACAAAGGCGCCAATTCGGGGGGCGAGAAAGCGCTTCATTCGGCCCTTTTTTGGGGGGGATTTTATGCCTTTTGGGAGGAGCCGGATTTTCGGGGAGGGATCCCGTGGGTACTGGAGGGGTCCTGGGGTGCCGGGGCCAGCGGGGGCCGGGCGGGCAGCGCGGGGGGCTCACCGAGGCGGACGTAGAGGACGTACTGCATGGAGTCGCGGGGCTCGGTGTACAGGATGCTGCCGCGCATGCTGAGCCAGATGATGGCCAGCTCGGCGATCATGCAGCTCAGCAGGATGCCCAGGTAGCCCCGGCCGTGGTCCACCAGGTTCAGGGAGCAGGTCTCGTCGGGGTTGTACACCAGCCCGAAGAGCACCACGGACAGGATCACGAACCTGCCGGGAGAAGAGCCGGGAAGGCCGGGAAGCCGCTCGGGGCTCCGGGCTCCGTTTGCTCCACCCGTTCCCACGGCCAGCTGGGAATTCTGCTCCCCCGGCACGGCAATCGGATCTGCCTCGTGTCACAGCATCCCCTGGGATTTGCCACTCCCACCCTCGCCCACAGGAGCTGTGGCTGCCCCATCCCTGGAAGTGTCCAAGGCCAGGTTGGACGGGCTGGAGCCACCTGGGATAGTGGGAGGTGTCCCTGCCTGTGGGATAATTGGAACTGGTCCCTTCCAACCCAAAGCACTCCAGGATTCCACAATTGTTTTCCTGAGCCCCTGGACAAAAACACAGCCCCAGATTTCAGTAGACCCATCCCTGGAAGTGTCCAAGGTCAGGCTGGACGGGCTGGAGCAACCTGGGCTAGTGGAAGGTGTCCCTGGCCATGGCAGGTGGGGAACTGGATGACCCTTAAGGTCCCTTCCAACCCAAACCATTTCAGGACTCCGTGATTGTTTTTCCTCTGTACAAAAACACGGCCCCAAATTCCAGTAGATCCATGCCTGGACACAGGATTTGCCACTCCCACCCTCGCCCAGAGAAGCTGTGGCTGGCCCATCCCTGGAAGTGTCCAAGGCCAGGTTGGATGGGCTGGAGCAACCTGGGCTAGTGGGAGGTGTCCCTGCCTGGGGGATAATTGGAACTGGTCCCTTCCAATCCAAAGCACTCCAGGATTCCACAATTGTTTTCCTGAACCCCTGGACAGAAACAAACCCCAAATTCCAAGAGCCCCATCCCTGGAAGTGTCCAAGGCCAGGTGGGATGGGCCTTGGAGCAACCTGGGCTAGCAGAAGGTGTTGGAGTTGGAACTGGATGAGGTTTAAGGTCCCTTCCAACCCAACCCATTCCAAGATTCCATGATTGTTATTCCTGAGCCCCTGTATGGAAACACAGCCCCAAATTCCAACCTCGGATGGCATGGGAGGATACAGGGAGCTCTGGCCAGGCTCTCTGGGACTAGGACAGAACTTGGAACTAGGGCAGAACTTGGGACAGAGCTCAGCTGAAAAACCAGGAGCCGGAATGTCTTGGTGTCCCTCAGAAATGCCCCCAAGAGGATCTTCCAGGTGCATGGGAAGAGCTTCCAGCCGTGCCGGGGGCAGCCAAAAGAATTCCTGGGAGGATTCCAAGCCTCCCTGTGCCCTTCCCACTTACCAGGTGGTGTGCAGGAGGAAGAGGAAGACGGCTGGCAGAACCAGGTCATCGCTGCCCACGGACCAGCGGCGGCGGAACACGACAATCCCTGGCATGGCTGGCGGGTCCCGGGAAGTTCAGCAGGCACGACACTCACCTCCTGGAAAAGAACGGAGCCGAGGATGATGCTGAGCCCCTTCAGCCCCCTCTGGAAAGCCCCACAATCCGCAGGGATGCATCCAGGAGTTCTCCTGGGTTTTATTCCAGCACCTCCCAGGAGAGGAAGGAATTTGCAGAGTGGGAATGATGAGGCGAAGCCGGTAACTCCTCCAGCTCCAGTTCATGGGATTACCTGGAATCCTGTCAGGGCCAACCCAAACAACTCCAGGATTCCCTGATTGTTTTTCCTGAGCCCCTGGACAGAAGCACAGCCCCAAAGGCCAACAGACCCATCCCTGGAAGTGCTCCGGGCCAGGTGGGACAGGGCTTGGAGCAACCTGGGCTAGTGGGATTTCGGGCAGGTTATTCCAGCCTCAGAAACCCTCCTGCCGTGTTTTCCCACGGACACGCCTCCTGCCAGGCTCTCCTTGGCCAACAATTCCCCCCCCTCCCTCAGCTCAGGAAGCCAAAATATCCATTAGGAGTCAGTGGAAGCCTCTGAGGAATATCGCCTGGCTCCCAACAGCACTTCCAGCTGGGAATATCAGTTCCTAGGATCTCTTTCCCTGGACCATCGGGAGCATCCTGCCAGCTCCGCATCTTTGCGCTCCAAACCCAAGGTGGGGGAAGAAGATCCAGGAGCTGCCGTTCCTCTGCCCGTGTTTTGTTTGTGCTCCTATTTTTAGAGCCTCACAAACCCTTTGGAAAAATAGAAACAGGAGCTCTGGAAAGTCACGAGACGGCACCGGGCGCTCCAGCCACCTCCTCCGGCACAGCCAGCCCACACCATCCCGGCTGGAAGCGCTCCAGCCCCGCTCCACAGGGGCTCCTGCAGCACAGCTTAGCCCCCTCCTGCTTCCCTGGCCCGGCACACAGCCCGCAGCCGGGAACCTTCCCTGCCTCTGCCAAACCTGGGATCGTGGCCCTGCAACCTGTCCAAAGGCACCGGTGCTTCCCTGGCTCTGGGATCTGCCCTGTCCCTCCCTCCATTCCATGTGCCTCTCTCCATTCCCTAATCCGTGTCCCTCTCTCCATTCCCTAATCCGTGTCCCTCTCTCCATTCCCTAATCCGTGTCCCTCTCTCCATTCCCTAATCCTTGTCCCTCTCTCCATTCCCTAATCCCCGTCCCTCTCTCCATTCCCTAATTCCCGTCCCTCTCTCCATTCCCTAATTCCCGTCCCTCTCTCCATTCCCTAATCCCTGTCCCTCTCTCCATGCCCTTATCCCTGTCCCTCTCTCCATGCCCTTATCCCTGTCCCTCTCTCCATTCCCTAATTCCTATGCCTTTTTCCACTCCCTAATCCCTGTCTTGCTCTCCATTCCCTAATCCATGTCCCTCCCTCCACTCCCTAATCCATGCCCCTCCCTCCATTCCCTAATCCTCGTCCCTCCCTCCATTCCCTAATCCTCGTCCCTCCCTCCATTCCCTAATCCTCGTCCCTCCCTCCATTCCCTAATCCCTCTCCCTCCCTCCATTCCCTAATCCCTCTCCCTCCCTCCATTCCCTAATCCCTCTCCCTCCCTCCATTCCCTAATCCTCATCCCCTTCTCCATTCCCTAATCCTCATCCCCTTCTCCATTCCCTAATCCTCATCCCCTTCTCCATTCCCTAATCCTCATCCCCTTCTCCATTCCCTAATCCTCATCCCCTTCTCCATTCCCTACTCCTCATCCCCTTCTCCATTCCCTAATCCTCATCCCCTTCTCCATTCCCT